TTTACAGCCTAATTAATTAAAAATTCTAAATATTTTTTTTCTCCATTAGATATTGTGCTTGAATTCATTAGGCTACACAAAAGATATTCGTGCCTCGCGAAGAGAAACGCACAGACTGCAAATACACTACTAAACAAAAAATAATTTTCATGAGCTTCACCGCAAGTCGTTCACTTGTTGATATACATACAATAATTCAATAAATACCTATTCAGAATAGGCACTTAATTCAAATAACTATTAGGCCAAGTAATAAAATAAATAACGAGAATTCACTGACCAAAATCAGCCTGGAAATGCTAACAAAGATCCGTAATTTTTTTTACAATTGAAAGGTACTCTGTTATTTCATCAGTCAGTCATGGAATTCTGGTGGTTGATGGGCTACTAGCAACATTAATTCCAGGAGAGAAGGCAATTCTATAGATTTGATTGATTAGGTTTGAGCGTGCACATCCGAGTGAGAGAGAGCACGCATCCTGTTTTGTGCATTATTGGATGCGTTTTGTCCACATTTCATATGTTGTATAATTATATCACTAGGTAACAAAGATATATTAACAAAAAAAAATCTATATATTTTAGAAGGGCCTTCACTGATTAATTTTGCCTGCGTCCCCCACTTCATGTAGGTACGCCTCTGGGCCTTCATCAAACCAGGTTGGGGAGAAAGTATTTGTATTGTAATAATGTAAATTATGTGAAAAATAATGCGTTTTTCGAACCACCAAGCATGAGAGCATGTTCTAGTACACCCCCAAAACAAAATCAAGACTTTGTAAAAGAGCATAATAGGACCCCTTTAAATGAATGGCTATGTTACAAACATAATCAGTTTGTGAAAAGAGTACTAAAGCGATATAAAAAGGCAGTTCAGAAATTCAAATCAATTCTGTTATATTCACATACGCACATGCCATCATTTAGTGAACTTCAGAATCCGGATCTCTCACCAATCCAATCAGCGGTTTTCCACCCACCTTATACAGTTGTAGTGTTTGAAAGTGCTGGCAGCCTTCTGGCATTCTAAACACAGCTGGATGGCGCCTGGATAGTCCTCCTCCTGTAAAATTAAATGCTCCATTTTACCTGAATATCTGTAGACATTTTCACAGGACTCAACTAGAACAACCGAGCTTACAGTTTAATTAATGATGCTAGATTTCTATCATTACCCTCACAATGACAGAACAATCTCATATTAAATTTACATTTAGAAGACATAAGGAGACCAAACACCACAATTAGTGGGTGTGAGAGACAATCTCAGTCCAAAGCATCTTCGTCCATCGAACACATGTTCTCGTTTGGTTATCTTTTAAATAATAGGTGTATTTGTGTAGATTTCTGTGCCAACGTACCTCCAGCATTTCACTCAGTCGAACATCAGTTCTTTGCTGTAAAAGAAGCAAAGAGAAGAAGGACAGAGTGTCTGTGAAACTAGGCAGAAGGGAAATTAACATGCACAGAGGACTGAAACTCTCTGTTTAGCCATTAACAATGTTGATGAAGTGATTACCAGAGTCTTTATGGTCCTCAAAGACTTCAACAATCCTGTCAACAGCTGTCGTCGTCTCTGATTGGCTAACAGCCCCAGACTGGCTTCAGTGAAGCCTTCTTTAGCAGAACGAAGCTGCCTAAAAGCAGAATTACAGCATTTCTGCCTATTCTACTGCTTATAAAAACTTTAAGCAATAGCTGGCCTAACAGTGAAAATGAATTTACTCATGTTGTTCTAAACCGGTTTGACTTTTTTTTTCTTTTTTTTAATGAATACAAAAAGACTGTTTTCCATGTTCTTTTTCAAATGTGTAGGCACTGAAGCATCAAGTGGACAAACAACTTGTGTGCTGTTTTCTAGTACTTCTGAAGTCATGTGATAGCTTTTTGGGAGAAAAATAAACAAGAGAAATGTAAATTGTTATTTAAAGAAAGCTCTATAACATTATCTCTATAGTATAGTATTCTTCATAGCAAACTCTTTCTTCATATTTCTGTCAATCAGAACTAATTGTATTTTAGTATATTATACACAATATTATCTATAGTAAGCACAACGTTTTAGTATATTACATTACAGCATAACATTTTAGTAATGAGTTCTAAAGCTTTAAATACCTTTAGCGTAAATATTGAAAGATCCTCAAGATTTAATTTTGATACACTGCGACCATGCATGAGTCCTTTGGCACATTCCTGAGAGTTCTTGAGGAAAGTGAAGAAATTAATAAATGATTTCTTTCATAGAACCAGTCTGAAAGATGTTAACTCACTGATAAAACCGCTCACTGGAATGAATGAATGATGTAAATCACTTGCATGTCGGTTTCTCACACAAAGCTAACATGTGACTTCAGAAGCCTTGGAATCGTTCAGACCTTTTTTGATATGTTTATGCACTTCTGTTTTCTTTTTGAAACAAGAAAACTTCTGTCCACATTTAAGTCAATTTTCTTTCTCTTTTTTTTTGTCCCACTGAGAAAAAGAAGTCAGTTTGGAACAACATATAACACAGCTTTCATTTGTTAGCTGTACTATTCCTTTAAACCCGATTTTCAAAGTTTGACAGTGATAAAAGCTCTCTGACCTTCGTGCATTAGTGCAGATGACTGCAGCCAGCTGCAAGTTGGTCTGCAGAGATGTCACTCTCTCGAGCTCCTACAACACAACAATGATTTTCAAGTTTTATGACAGAGTTTATCCAAAACAAGGCAAATGCTACTCTGGTATCCTTTGAAGTAGACAAGACAAATGAGACAATGCTTATGATCTTCCTTCCATATAGCAGGATATTACCTCTCGTGGATAACTGCGATTCTAACCTCTATGCTTAATGGGTTCAGACCAGAGATGTTCTCTTCTATTAGGCCATTTTTTTCAGGCCCATTATGAACAATAAAGCAAGAGAGATGATAATGGTGACAAGGTTTTTAGTATAGGAATGAGAAAAGCAGCATAATGAGAAAGAACATGCTCCCTTAGCTCACACCGACATGCCCACAAACTAATAGACAACTGAAGTTCAGGGCTTTTTGCAAGGCTTTTCTCATGCAAGGCCCCCACTTCACAGCATTCTCGGTTTTGAAGAGCACCGTTGTCACAGCCTGAGGTGAGCTCACACTGAGTGACCCAGTCTTTCGACGCACATTAGGTCTGGCCAACACAGAGACAGCCTTCAGCACCGAAACATCATCCCAGTGTCACGTTAAAGATAATTATTTGGCCAAAGAATATGAGGTGGAAAAAATTGATTCCACAGAGAGGGGCAGAAGAAACAGAGGCTCCTTATGCGAAGCGTCACAAGGAGAGCCGTTCATTCTTCAGAAGGCTATCAGTAGCAAATACCCGGAAGAATCCTGGAAGGCTTCTGGGAGATGAACAGATCGTATTGAGCTTTAATTTGGGTGCCTGGAGAACCTCCTGCAGACTCTAAAGTACCGTCTAATAGATGACAGTACAAACAGGAATAAAACAAAAAGTGCAGTGTTTGATTTGTTCTGCCGTTCAGTCTACTGACAAACACATGGAAGGCGTGAGGTTAACAGGGTGTCTTTGCTGAGGAAACACAGGCTGGTCATTTAGCCAGGCATCTGCAGAAAAAAATCTGTGGAATCTCAGTCTCTGTGCTTTTCAAGTGCCCTTGGAGTTGCCCTCACTAGAGCAGGAAGCGGAACCCAGCCATAGCCCCGCTGAGTCATAGGGTCCTTAAGGGATCCAGTGGGCTTCAGAGCTCAAGCAAGAGTGACTCACTATCTCCACATACACACTGCAGCCAAATACATGGTTGTCACTCCTGTTTTGAGAGCTAAATCTTATTCAGTCCACAAAAATGTGTTTAGTCAAAACACATTCTATAATTAAATTCACTCACAAATAAAATTAAATATAACCAAGACCAGTAGCGTGTTTAGGCCCCACGCAATTGTCCAGGGGGGCCCCCATGGAACACGATTTCTACCGATGGGGCCCCCAAGGGACTGCTTACTTAGGGCCCCCAAAACTCTAAACACACCCCAGACCAAGACTGCCAATGTTGACTGCAATTTCAGAAGTAATTCATGGACTGCAAAAGACCATCTTAACTCTTTCCCAACCAGCGGTTTTTCAAAAAAGTTGCCATCGGCACCGATAGCCTCATAAACAAGGCTGTGCGTCAATATACAGCGCATCTTGCGCTTGCGGCAACCCGAGTTAGATTCCCATCTCGAGGTCCTTTATCAATCCCCAATTCTCTCTACCCAATACTTTCCTGTTATCTCTCTACTGTCCTGTCCCAATAAAGGCATAAAAAGCCCATAAATATATATTTTTTAAAAAGTTGCTAGCCACCGCCAGTATTTTGTTGTGTGAATATTTGAACATGCAATATGTCAAAAAAAAATAAAAAATTATTCTAGTTTCATGCAATATATATATATTTTTAATCAAAACTTGATTGTGGGTAAGTTTCATAAAAAAAAGCAAAAAAAATAAAATAATAAAATCACATTTTTGTAAAAGACTACATCTGGATTGGATTCAGAACGATAGATCGCTTCCATTAACACTTCCAAAGCTTGCACAGTCCTATACCACTTCCTGGATAATCATTTCATTCAGTAACATTAGGCAGTTTTGATTTATAATGCTTGATAATTGTTATTTTACATATGCATCTACTTACAGATGCAATCGCTTGTTTTTGCTTCTTCGCTGTGTTTTGATTTAGATGTTCAATACTCTTTCAGAAGATGCGTAATAGCGCCTCCTACCATACACCAGTGAAAACACAGAAAGCCGGAAATGTCGGGGAAGCGTTGTCTCATAAATTATGGAAAGTTCCATCAATGGTGGGGAAAGAGTTAATTAGTATTTTGTTTTCCCAGAATTAGACAAGTAATTTCAACTGAATTTATCTTGGGGTTTTTTTTTTTTTATTTACCATTGATCGGCAAAATTGATTTTAATAGGAATCCAAGAGATTCCTGAGAACGAAAGATTTCACAATGGGTTTAAGTTGGTCCCACTAATTCACTATATTGACCAAGAGAAAGCTGCTTGGTTTGAAAGAGTCTTCAGCATGAGCTGTGCTTCATACATCGCTTCACTATTAATGAACACTGGACCTTCTTGCTAAATAAAATTTCACTAATGTGACCATACTTTCAGTGAGGGTTGCACAATGTTTTTGATAGGAATAAAAACAAGGCTGTGCGAAAAGTTCAGTGTGTTCACTGGATTGAACTCTTTAACAACATGCCGATTGTTCACCTGACTAAACATCTTCCTAAACAACCTTTCAATAAACACAAACTGATATGTGATCTAGGACCTAGAACATACCATTATAAAGACTGTAAAGTGCTTTTCACAAAAAAGAATGATAACTGTAAATTTATATTTTTAACAACTGTTCTAATTGTATGAGAAAAGAGAGGTCCACACCACAGCTATAATGTTAACAGACAGAGGAACAATTTTGTTGGAATCACTTCTAGAATTTTCTTTCAGGTGACAAATGACCAAAAAAAAAGCCAATCAGAATTTAGTAGGGATGCACCGATACCACTTTTTCCAGTACTCGCCCCAATACCGATACATTTATTTTTGGTACTTGCCGATACACAGACCGATATTTTTATTGCATTTGTAAATTTTTTAAATATTGGGTACAGAAACCAAAAGGGTATGTATAATGTTAGTTGGTTAACTTCATTTATCAAATAGATAGTCAAACCAAAATTTATTCAGACCCCTTCAACATTTCTCACAGTATCACAGTTTGTTCGCTATAGTTTTGAAAATGGTAATAAAATATGACAAGAGTTAAACTGTGTCAGAACAAATTCATCTTGATAATGTTAGATAATTTTGATACAAAGGTATGTAATATATTACAATCAACCAAAAATTATTCAGACAGCTGTTAGTATGACAGTATTTACACAACTATGAATACTTTGTCGGGCAACCTTTAGCCTTAATGACAGCCTGTAGTCTCCTGGGCATGCTGTTTCCCAGCTTCAAGCAAACCTCAACTTAAATTTTTTTCCCCAGACTCGGTCTGAATAATTTTTGGACCCAAATTTGTATCAATTTTACTGGTAGTCCACTGTATGAAGAATTTTTGGGTATGATTTGTCACAGTTTACTTCATTTAGCTATCCTCACTTACATAAATGAACAATAGTGTCCTGCACCCACTAGTAAAAAAAATATCAAAAATGATATCTGGTCTCTGAATAATTTTTGGTTTCACTGTATATCCTTCGGTTATTTTCACACTTAATTATGCCCATTAAAAT